ACTGGTAGGGTGGTAGTACTGGAGGGGTGGTAGTGACTGGCAGGGGTGGTAGTGACTGGCAGGGGTGGTGACTGGTGGGGTGTAGTGACTGGTAGGGTGGTAGTGACTGGTGAGGGTGGTAGTGACTGGCAGGGGTGGTAGTGACTGGCAGGGGTGGTAGTGACTGGCAGGTGATGAGTGACTGGCAGGGGTGGTAGTGACTGGTGGGGTGGTAGTGACTAGTGGGGTGGTAGTGACTGGCAGGGGTGGTAGTGACTGGCAGGGTGTAGTGACTGGTAGGGTGTAGTGACTGGCAGGGTGGTAGTGACTGGCAAGGGTGGTAATGACTGGCAGGGGTGGTAGTGACTGGCGAGAATGGTAGTGACTGGCAGGGGTGGTGGTGACTGGCAGGGTGGTAGTGACTGGCAGGGGTGGATGAGGAAGTGGTAGTGACTGGCAAGTTGGTAGTGACTGGCAGAGTGGTAGTGACTGGCAGGGGTGGTAGTGACTGGCAGGGGTGGTAGTGACTGGAATTGGTAGTGACTGGTAGGGTAAGTGACTGAGTTAGTGTGACTGGTAGTAGTAGTGACTGGTAGATGGTAGTGACTGGCAGGGGTGGTAGTGACTGGTAGGGTGGTAGTGACTGGCAGGAGTGGTAGTGACTGGTGGGGTGGTGGTAGTGACTGGTAGGGTGGTAGTGACTGGCAGGGGTGGTAGTGACTGGCAGGGTGGTGTAGTGACTGGCAGAGGTGGTAGTGGTGGCATGGTTGGTAGTGACTGGCAGGGGTTGGTAGTGACTGGCAGGGGTGGTAGTGACTGGCAGGGGTGGTAGTGGTGCTGGGGGTGGTAGTGACTGGCAGGTGTGGTAGTGACTGGGAGGGTGGTAGTGACTGGCAGTTAGTAGTGACTAGCGTTGTAGTAACTGCAGGGGTGGTGACTGCAGGGTGGATGACATGGTTGGTAGTGACTGGCAGGGGTGGTAGTGACTGGCAGGGGTGTTAGTGGCATGGTTGGTAGACTGCAGGTGGTAGTAACTGGCAGGGGTGGTAGTGACTAGCAGGGTAGTAACTAGCATGGTTGGTAGTGACTGGCAGGGGTGGTAGTGACTGGCAGGTGTGGTGATGTGGGTTGGTAGTGACTGGCAGGGGTGAGTGGTAGTGACTGGGGTGTGGAGTGACTAGCAGGGTGGTAGTGACTGGCGGGGTGGTGGTGTATGAGTGGCAGGGTGGTAGTGACTGGCAGGGGTTATGAGTGGAGGGGTGGTAATGACTGGTGTGGTAGTGACTGGGGTGGTAGTGACTGGCAGGTGGTAGTGACTGGCAGGGTGGTGGTAGTGACTGGCAGGGGGGTAGTGACTGGCAGGGGTGAGTAGTGACACAGCATGGTGTGACTGGCAGGGGTGGTAGTGACTATGGCAGGGGTGGTGATGGTAATGGTAGTTGTAGTGAATGGCAGGGGTGGTAGTGACTGAAGAGTGACAGCAGGGTGGTAGTGACTGGCAGGGGTGGTAGTGACTGGCATGTGGTTGGAGTGGCAGGGGTGGTAGTGACTGGCAGGGGTGGTAGTGAGTGGCAGGTGGTGGTAGTGGCAGGTGGCAATGAGTGGCAGGGGTGGCAGATTGGCAGGGAGGTGAAATTATAGCAGGTTGGTGGTGACCTAAAACCCACAACAACAGTAGAACTGGCCACTCACTGCCCGAATTCCTAGTCACTGCAGCTCTCGTATCCTCAATCCCTCCCTCCCTCACTCCTTCCTCCCTCCCTCTCCCCCATTTGTTATCTCTTACCCCATTTTATTTTCTCTTCCCTTTACATCTCTTCTTTCCTCTCCTCTTATATTCTCCTTTCCCTTTATAACTTAAGAGAATCATAGCTTTATATATCGATTACTCTCTAAAGCTATCATATATATTTTATAATGGAGATGACAGGTTTTTCGCTGTATGGCCTGTATACTGTTCATGCTATTTGTCATGGTGAGTATGATGTTTGTATGTTGAATTGACGCCCCCGTGAGTATCTTTTTTGCTCGTGATCATACATATTGGTTCTTCTGTATGAAGTATATCTGTGTATGAGGATTTTGATTTTCTTTTCTGTGTGTGTTTGTATGATATTTGTGTATATTTTGTAAGTTGCTGGTGTATGTTGGGTGTTTAGTATTTTTTTTATAAATTGTTGTGTGTGTGTGTTGTGTGTGTGTGTGTGTGTGTGTGTGTGTGTGTGTGTGTGTGTGTGTGTGTGTGTGTGTGTGTGTGTGTGTGTGTGTGTGTGTGTGTGTGTGTGTGTGTGTGTGTGTGTGTGTGTGTGTGTGTGTGGAATATTTTTGTATACTCACAATGCGTATTGAACAACCCCCACGCGTGAGCATTTTGATCAATTGGCGTGAACCCTCGTTTCCTCAATCTTAGAGTCGCCGTCACCAGGAAGAGTGTCACCTCCGCCGGCCAGTCCGTAAGGCCCACTCACCTGTAGTTCTCCTTTAGGGAATCTCACCCTGCAGACCTTGTGGCTTATCGCTATCTTCCTCCAAACCACAGATATCAAGGTCTAACTCCGGAAGGTGCGGGCTAGAGGGGCGTACCCTGCATCAATGAATGAAGAAGGCCGGTGTCTTTTTTTTGTCACGTTTCACTTCTTCCTTTGTTAATAGTTCTGTTTTTGTTTTTGTTTGTTTTATGTAAAGTTTCTTATAAGTGGACTGGATGGTGGGGGGGGGGGCAAACAGTGAGAAGAGAGGGATGGATCTCGTCATGGAGTCACAAGGAAGTCATGCACTACTGTATGAGGTGAGTGGGGGGGGAGACGGGAAGGCATGATGGAAGGATTTAAGTGGAGGATGGGAAGGATAGAAAGGACGAATTGAGGGAGGAAGGAATGACAGAAGATGGGATGGGTCGGGAGGAAGGAGGTAGGGGGGAGGATGGAAGAGGTAGGGAGGGAGGGATGGATGGAAGGAGGGAGGGAGGGAGGATGGGGTGGGTCGAGGAGAGGATGAAAGGCAGGGAGAGTAGGAAGGAAGGAAGGAGGTAGGGAGGATGGGATGAGTTGGGAAGGGGTAGGATTGAAGGAAGGAAGGGTTGGAAGAAGGGAGGGAGGGTAGGGAGGCAGGAAGTATGGGAGGGAGGGTGGGTAGGAAGTATGGGAGGGAGGGTAGGTAGGAAGGAAAGGAAGGGAGGAGTGAAGAGAATGGGCTGGGTCGGGGAGGGAGGAGCCAACGATTGCATGACAGTTTATGCACCGTCACCACATCCTGTCAGGCGTCCTGTTATCTGTCCTGTCATGCAACTTTTGTGCGTCCTGTCGTGTACACACAGTCATGTACAACACACACACACACACACACACACTACACAACTATACACATTGCCCTTACACAACTATACATAGTTATATACTACGCACAACCTTGCTCAAATATACACTTTCCTTTTTATATACAACCACATACACTACACACTCTCCTTACAAACTCACTCCCCATATATCTAAGTCACCTTAAATCTTGCTCACTTATAACCCTCCCCACCAAACAGTGTGGTGAGTACTTGACAACCTGCCCTGAGCCTCCGTGATGGCTCATGACACATCCTCCTACCCAACCCAACCCAACCCAGCCCAACCCAGCCCAACCCAACCAACCCCAAACCACCCAACCAGCAACCCAACCCAACCCAACAACCCGACACAACCCAACCCACAGCCACCCAACCCAACCCAAGACCTGACCCCAACCCAGCCAGCCCCAACCAGCGACCAATGACCCAACTCGACAAACCCAACCAAATACCAACCCAACCCGACTGACCCAACCCAACCCAATACCCAATGAAACCAACCCAACCCGAACCCAACCCAACCCATGACGTAAAACTAATGACAATGACCCAACCCAACCTCAGCCAACCCAGCCAACTCAACCCAACTCAACTCAAGCCCAACCCAACACAACAACCCAGCCAATGACAATCACAGCCAACAACCCGCTCAACTCAACTCAACTCAACTCAACCATCACAACAAACCAAACTCAGCTCAACCCAACAACCCAAACAACTCACTCAACTCAACTCAACTCACTCATAGTAGGCAACCCAACCCAGCACCAACTCAACTCACTCAACTCAACCCAACCCAACCCAACCCAACTCAACTCAACCCAACCCAACCCCAGCCCCAACCCAGCCTTGAGTTGAATTTCAAACATGACCCTAACCCAACCTAACCTAACCAAATTAGCAACATACTTCCCCCCCTCCCCCCCCACACACACATGCTCCTGTCACTATATAATTATGTAACTTGCCGACATAATCCATGGCCCTTCAGGCACTTGCGTCCTTAATGCGTGAGTTAAGAAGGCAAGCATGGACTCACATGCTTCCCTGTTGGCCGCTGTAAAACGCTTGTGCACTTTGCCTTGTACAGGATCCAAAAGGTTTGCCCAATAAACTAGCCCCCTGAAAATATAAGCCATTTATTATGTTTTACAACTATACAAATATATTACGCACATACACTCATATTTTACAGCAATCTATACATACATACACTTCATACACTCATGTTTTACAGCAATCTATACGCACATACACTCATATTTTACAGCAATCTATACATACAGACACTCATACACTCATATTGTACAGAATATGATAGTCTCCTGACACCTTCCAACTTGTTCTAATATTTATCACTAATACGTTAATATTTGCCTAAGTGTAGTGGGCCTTTCCTGACCTTAATAATGGATGGTTTTTCACGCTAAGGAATAGTTTCATTGTTTATCAAGTGTTGCTGAACTCATCTAAGCACCAATTCCAGGACTTTTTTGTTTTGTTTTGGGTAATGTGGGAATTTTTTTGTGTTGAGGTTAGGTTGGGTTTAGGTTAGGATTGGTTTAGGTTAGGTTTGGTTTAGGTTAGGTTGGGTTTAGTTTAGGCCCTTCATACCTGTATTCTGGCTCTCCACACCTGTATCCTGGCCCTTGACACCTGTATCCCGGCCCTCCACACCTGTATCATGGCCCTCCATACCTGTATCCTGGCCCTCCACACCCGTATCCTGGCCCTCCACACCCGTATCCTGGACCTCCACACCTGTATCCCGGCCCTCCACACCTGTGGTATCCTAGGCCCTCCACACACTCCGTATCCTGGCCCTCCACTCCTGCAGTATCCTGGCCCTCCACACCTGTATCATGGCCCCCACATCTGTATCCCGGCCCTCCACATTCGTATCCCGGCCCTCCACACCCGTATCCTGTCCCTCATTAACTGTATCATGGCCCTCCACACCTGTATCCTGGCCCTCCACACCCGCATCCCGGCCCTCCACACCCGCACATCCTGGCCCTCCACACCTGCATCCTGGCCCTCCACACCTGTATCCTGGCCATCCATTACCTGTATTCCTGGCCATCCATACCTGTATCCTGGCCCCTCCACCACCTGGTATCCCAGCCTTCCACACACCTGTATCCTGGCCTTCCACACCTGTATCCCATACCTCCACACCTGTAATATCCTGGCTCTCCACACCCGTATCCCAGCCTCCAAGCACACCTGTATCCTGGCTTTCCACACCTGTATCCTGCAAGGGCCCTCCACACCTGTATCCTGGCCCTCCACACCTGTATCTTGGCCCTTTACACCTGTATCCCGGCCCTCCACACTCCAGTATCCCGGCCCTCCACACTCCCATCCTGGGCCCCTCCACACTCAGAGTCCTGCCATCCACACCTGCATCCTGGCCCTCCACACCTGTATCCTGGGCCCTCCATACCTGTGTCCTATCCCTTCACACCCGTGAGTCCTGGCCTCCACACCTGCATCCTGGCCCCCACACCCGGGTATCCCGGCCCTCCACACCTGTATCCCGGCCTCCACACCTGTATCCTAGCCCTCCACACCTGTATCCCGGCCCTCCACACCTGTATCCCGGCCCTCCACACCTGCATCCTGGCCCTCCACACCTGTAGAGTCCTAGCCTCCACACCTGTGCTGTCCTAGCCCTCCACACCTGTATCCTGGCCCTCCACACCTGTATCCTGGCCCTCCACACACCTGTATCCTGCCCTCCACACCTGTACATCCTAGCCCCTCCACACCTGTATCCTGGCCCTCCACACCTGTATCCTGGCCCTCCACACCTGTATCCTGGCCCTCCACACCTGTATCCTGGCCCTCCACACCTGTATCCTGGCCCTCCACACCTGTATCCTGGCCCTCCACACCTGTATCCTGGCCTACACATCTGTATTCCGGAGCTAAATAATAACCCCGGACCTGTTGTCATGGGGATTCCCCTCTACCAAGCTCCGGTTTAGCTCAATTAGGTCGCCAAAAGTTACAATAATTATTTGCGTTTTTGTCACGTTAAGTCGGTTTTAATATAATCATTCTTATAAAGTTAAAAAAAAAGTATGTCAGGAGTGTGGAAAATATTAATGTTAAATTGATGTGATTGTGGAAAATATTAATGTTGAATTGATGTGATTGTGGAAAATATTAATGTTGAATTGATGTGATTGTGGAAAATATTAATGTTGAATTGATGTGATTGTGGAAAATATTAATGTTAAATTGATGTGATTGTGGAAAATATTAATGTTGAATTGATGTGAGTGTGGAAAATATTAATGTTAAATTGATGTGATTGTGGAAAATATTAATGTTGAATTGATGTGAGTGTGGAAAATATTAATGTTAAATTGATGTGATTATGAACCGAAAATATGTTATTGGATGATATAATGAATGACTTGTGGTGCTGGTTGAGGGAGTTGATGTATTCATAAAGTCTGGCTGGTATTTTAGTGTTGAATTGTACACATCCTGGAGCCGGGTGTGTGGTGATGATGGTGTGTGTGGTGATGATGGTGTATGGTGGTGGTGTGTGGTGGTGATGGTGTTTGGTGATGGTGTGTAGTGGTGATGGATGGTATGTGATGATGGGGTCTGGTGGCAATGGTGTGTAGTGGTGATGGTGGTGTGTGATGATGGGGTGTGGTGGTGATGGTGTGTAGTGGTGGTGATGGTGGTATGTGTTAATGGTGTGTGCTGGCGATGGTGTGGTGATGATGAAAATGGAAATGGTGACAGCAGCAGCAGCAGACAATCCCGAAAATATTACAAGATCACGCAGACAGCAATAGACGGGTAACAGACATCAACAGACACCAGCAGACGAGTAACAGACAACAGACGCCGGCAGACGAGTAACAGACATCAACAGACGAGTAATAGACACCAGCAGACGAGTAACAGACATCAACAGATGCCAGCAGACAAGTAACAGACATCAACAGACGCGAGCAGACGAGTAACAGACAACAGACGCCAGCAGAAGAGGAACAGACATCAACAGACGAGTAATAGACACCAGCAGACGAGTAACAGACATCAACAGATGCCAGCAGACAAGTATAGCGAGTAACAGACACACCAGAAGACACCCAGCAGACGGTAACAGACATCAACAGACACCAGTAGACAAGTATAACGAGTAACAGACATTAGCAGACACCAGAAGATGATTAACAGACATCAGAAGACACCAGCAGACGAGTAACAGACACCAGCAGACAAGTATAACGAGTAAAAGACATTAGCAGACACCAGAAGACGAGTAACAGAGATCAGAAGACACCAGCAGACGAGTAACAGACATCAACAGACACCAGCAGACGAGTAACAGACATCAACAGACGAGTAACAGACATCAGCAGACGAGTAACGGACATCAGCAGACACGTAACAGACATCAACAGACGAGTAAGAGACATCAACGGACACCAGCAGACGAATAACAGACATCAACAAACACCAACAGACGAGTAACGGACATCAACAGACGAGTGACAGACATCAACAGACAAGTATAACGAGTAACAGACATTAGCAAACACCAGCAGACGAGTAACAGACATCAACAAACACCAACAGACGAGTAACAGACACCAGCAGACGAGTAACATACACCAGCAGACGAGTAACATACACCAGCAGATGAGCAACAGACGAGTAACAGACACCAGCAGACGAGTAACATACACCAGCAGATGAGCAACAGACAGCAGACAGGTCTAGTCGAGGAAGTTCCGGCCCCGAATCAATAAGCCTTTCTGGCCCGGAGGAGGAGAGTGTTGGAGGTAGCTGGGAGGAGGAGCGGCACAGGTGACTCTCCTCCTCCTACCTCCGTCCGCCCTTCTTCCTCTCACCACCTCCTCCTCCTCCTCCACTGTTTTACAGGAGGAAGTGGTTTTAACCCTTCCAGTACGAGGACTAGTGGGAGGGAAGGGAGGGAGTGGAGTGGAAGGGGAGGTGAGAGTCAATCAAGAGGGAGAGGTGGTTGTAATTATAATGGCGGTAGGAGGATGCGAAGGAAGGAAGACAGGAAGGAAGGAATGCAGGGAGGAAGGAAGGCAGGGAGGAAGGAAGGAGAGGGAGAGAGACAGAGGAAGAACAGAAAGAGAGACGGTTGTAATTGCACAGGCGAAGAAGGAAGTGGTTTTAATTCGTCTACTGAGAGAGAGAGAGAGAGAGAGATTCACCTGGGCACAGATTTCCTTTCAGGTGTTAGTCATAATGCTTGGGCGATGATTCTTTTTTTACTCTCTCTCTCTCTCTCTCTCTCTCTCTCTCTCTCTCTCTCTCTCTCTTGTTCGACATAGGCAAACTTTATGGAGCCTAAAGTGAATTATTTTTATTTGCTTTATTTTTCTGTAATTTAATGTTTTTTTATTGTTTGATTCTCTTTGGTTTCGCTTCATTTGTGCAGTGATACAGATGCGTGTAACGTGCACACGTGTAGGAAGGTATTATATCGGGTGTGGCAGGTGTACAGAGGCATTACATATATCGGGGTTGACAGGTATAAAGAGGCATCATATTGGGGCTAACATGTGTAGAGAGGCATTACATAATTATATTAATAATAATGGTTGCCCCCCGTGTAACGAGGATGGCCTGTCCATGGCCACCTATATTGGAGTGAATTTGTTTAAGGTGTAGAAGCTGTCGCCAACACAACAACCACACCCTAAGTTAACGAGCTGCATGACCCAGTGTCAAGAAATCGTCCGAGAAGACCGGACAACTCGCCAACTGCACTGGCTAACCATTACCCCAGAATACGATCGGCAAATCGATTAACATCCAGGTTCCCAATTACTGCTGGGTAGACAGAGCCAAATTGCGTAAAGAAACTTGCTCATAATTTCACCCTGCCCAGGGATTGAACCGGGTCGCCATAGAAAGGCATTACATATATTGGGGTTGACGGGTGTAAAGAGGCATTATATCGGGGTTAACATGTGTAGAGAGGCATTTTATCGGGGTTGACAGGTGTAGAGAGGCATTTTATCGGGGTTGACAGGTGTAGAGAGACATTATATCGGGGTTTATATGGCACGGGCGGTTGTGGAAAGTGTTAATAGACTCCATAAGTGTGGAAGGAATCACTAAAAATATAACAGGTGTGAGAATAATTAATTAGAGTACGAATAGGTGTGGGAAGTGGGATCAGGGAGTTATTAATTACAATACATATGGTTAGTGTCGTGTAATTTTAAATCCTATGTTTGTTGAGGATTTTATTGATCATCAAATCAATACAGTTAGTCTCCATTATATTTTTTGTAGTGTTTCAATATACAGTAAATGTAATTTTTAGTACACTTTAATGTTCTAATTTTTTTCTTCGTTGTGCACCTTTGAGTTAACATATTTGACTTTTTCACGTTATTTTTTCTGATATTAAGAAATAAACGTATTTGACTATTTTTGACAATCTCTTTTTTAATGTAACTTATACTGTGATTTTTTCCTGTGATTTTTATTTTTGTTCAACATAACGGTATGTGAAAAAAAAATATTGTTTTTACTTTTATTTTTTTTTACACTATTTTTCAATTTTATTTTCAGATATATGACACTTTCCTTTCATGTAATTTAAGGCAGAGTTTTTCTTAGTATTTGTCTTTTATAATTTACCATACATGACAACTTTGTTCATATTAATTTTTATTTTATTTAAATGTAAAAGATTTAATACGTTTTTCCACCGACTTTTTTCATATTTTTTTGTGTATGATTTTTTTTCTGGAATTCACATTTTTTTTATCTTTTTCTGTAACATATACGGCAGGTTATTTTTCTCATTAAACTACTTCTCCTTTTAATCAACATCTGTAAGAATTTTATATGAATCAGGGAAACACTAACACGAAAACACAATATATTTCCTGGGGTTTATGACTAGTTTAGGTCTCTGCCACATGCTTCGTTTTCTTGCACGTGGGGTCAATACTCATGTTTTTTTTTTCGATAATTATTCTCCTGTTATATGTTATTTAAATATGTATCTGTGAGCTGATTCAAGAACTGATTATTGAGTTAATTAAGAGAAGTTTTATAATGGATGGTGAACTAGTATTATACAAGATACTTAGTGGGAAATTTTTTTTATTTAATTATTAACTCATTATGTAAGTATACTGATAATTAGTAGTGAGTTAAATGTTTCATGAAGTTTAGTAGACATGTACAGTCACCCCAAAAAACTATCTGTATAAACGGGATCGATGAGTTTCAGAATGAACACTGCGACGACTCCTGTTGTCTCGGTGAGGTTGTCAAAATCGTTAGTCCGTTGAGTCATATTTTTTAAACACAATTTTGTATAGATGGTTTTTTTGTGTGGCTGTACAAGTTATCCTCACATGTTATTACTGTCAGGTCGTGTTGACAGTCTAGAATCGTGATTTTGTTTAGTTGTTTTGGTCGTAGTTATTTTTGTGCTGATGTGCA